TCCGTGGTGGAGTTTAAATTAATTTTTGTTACGTATAAAGGAGGGTGCTGCAAAGGATGTGGGAAGGAGGATTCTCAAGGGTGTCTGGGGACATGGACTGGGAGCGAGGGCTGTCCCCCTGCCGGGAATGTTGATCCGGAACGTCAAAGCAGGGATGAACCCGGCCTCCCGGGATCGGGGCTTTAGCTGGGGCTGGAGACGTTGGGTCGTGGAGGGGTTGAGACATCAGAGCGGCTCTGTGTTTTCCTTGAATATTTACCCAGTTTCTCTAGATGTGACTTGGGCAGCTGAAGTTCTCGGTCAAAACTCGTGATACTTCAAATTATCAAATGTTTGGGAAAACTTTGGTGCCGGTAAGTACCGGGAGCGTGAGCCCATGTGGGGTCAGTGCGCTGTTAGCTGTTAGTTTAGCGGTTTTTCTCCGTCATTTTGGTTGAGTGGGTTGGTGGGTCCTTGGCCAGACCTGTCCCTCGCGCGGGTTTGGGAGCACAGCGCGCGGGGAGGACGCCGGCAGTGCGCGGAAACGGGCTGCGGCGGCTGCGCGCTGCTCTGCCCCGGGGCCGGGCTTTGCGGGGATGCTCCGGGTGTCGGTAACGCCAGGCGAGAGCAGCAGGGTGACATCCGGGGCCTTCCGAACTAGCGCGAGTGGCTGATCGTTGATCCGAGCTTCTTAGCAACAATTCTGCCAGTAAAACCCTGTCCTCCGTCTCCCGTGGTCCTTCCTGGCTGCTTGTTGTCGTCGATGCTTCATTCTGCGCCTTCGCCTGGTGTTTAGCTCTGGGGTCGAGGGACCTTGCCAAGGGCTCCCGCTCCACGGTGGCTTCCCACGGCCTTCCTGGGAAGGAAAGGGACAGGAAGAGGCTCCTGCATGGGGTGTTTGGAGCTGCATTCGTTCGGAAGTGCCTTAAACCAGCCCTTGCTCTTGGGGGTGCAAGAACTCGATGGGAGGCTGGGAGCCCTGTTCGGTGCTCCGCGCGGAACAGCAGCTTCCCATCCCCTGCGGTTAGGGTAGAAAAGGAATTCTAGAGGCTGCGGGGAAAAACAAGTATTTGGGAGCCCCTTAAAGGGATCTATGCCTACGCTCATTATTTAGAGGACTTCCCCCACTCTTCTAATTGGAGAAGTAGCATAATGTTAAAATGTTCGTCGGGAGCTCACAGGCGCTGCTGACCCTCTAAACGGTGTGTCATGGCCTGAGCGTGACTGAAGGGCGCTGGTGGTGTCCCTGTCACTCTGTGCTGCGGCCACGGGAGCGCCCCAAAATGCAGGCGGATCCGGAGCGGCGGTGGGATCCGGAGCGGTGGCGGGATCCGAAGCGGCGGCGGGATCCGGAG